TCCATCAATGATAGATTGGATTAAGAAAATGTGGCACATATACACCATGGAATACTATGCAGCCATAAAACAGGATGAGTTCATATCCTTTGTAGGGACATGGATGCAGCTGGAAACCATCATTCTGAGCAAACTATCGAAGGACAGAAAACCAAACACCGCATGTTCTCACTCATAGGTGGGAACTGAACAATGGGAACACTTGGACACAGGGTGGGGAACATCACACACTGGGGCGTGTCATGCGGTAGGGGTAGGGGAGAGGGATAGCATTAGCATTAGGAGATATACCTAATGTAAATGATGAGTTAATGGGTGCAGCACAGCAACATGGCACACGTATACATATGTAACAAACCTGTATGTTGTGCACATGTACCCTAGAACTTAAAGTATAGTAAAAAATATTTATCCAACTGACTAAAATGGGTTAAACTAAAAACACAAATCCAGTTAATATATGAGCATAATAAATAAAATAAATAAAAGAGCACAATAAATAAAAATAATAATTTTAAAAGTTGTTTGAGGAAAACCATAGAAAATAAGCTTAAAACTCTGTGCTTCTTGCTGACAAGAACAAAATGGAAAACACTAGAACAAACATAGGTTTCCTACTCTAGCTCAAGGTTCGATAACTCAAAAAAATATTTTGTTGGTCTTGTGCTCTAAGAAGAAACTATCTCAGGGTTTTGTGGAAATTAGGGGAGGGGGCCACGAAAGTCAATAGCCTTAATAACACTTTTCTCCTAAATGTGAAGGCATGCCATATATGAGTAGCTCTAAGGGAAAACTAAAGACATAAAGTTAGTTTGGTTCAATAAGGGCAATTCCAGGAGTGAAAGGCTGAAGGGCAAAATAACACGGTCTAATCTTTCATTTCCTGATGTTTTGACTTAAATTATTTTTTGAGAAACTAGTAATATATTACTTAAGAATATTCCTTTCTCAAATACCCAAATTTTCAGCCAGCCTTCTGACAAGAACAAGATGAACAACAAACATGATTAAGGTCATTACTGAGGACCTCAATAGCTGGTAATGTAAAAGATCTATAGGCTACAGCTTTCAGGTATATTGGTTGTAATGATATTTGTTAAGAAAAAGAAATCAAAGATTTTGACTTGCATATTCTTGTCTGCTGAAGAGAAGTTCTATAATTACAAACAAGATTTTCCACAGAAAGCAACTCTAGTTCTAGGACTTGAGCAATTATTTGATTCAAGCACAAAAACTTAGTGCCACTGGGTAGCACCTCATCACCCCTACATCTTGTCCTTTCCCACTCCTGCCAACTCTACTTCTCAAGCATTTTCCTGGTCACCTCCTCTTCTCCTTATTATCATTACTCTGGTTCAAGCTCCCTGACTGGATTTTCTGCAATCGTTTCTTAACTATCCTCCCTGCTTCTCCCCTGATTCCCCAATCATTCCTTCTCCATCAGCCACCAGACTAATTTCTCTGAATCACAAATGAGGCTAATCATGCCATGGCCCTGCTTAAAATTATTGAGCAGCTTCATCATCCATGGGAAAAGAAATTCAAGCTCCTTAACATGGCATTCAAGGCCCACAAAGCACTGGCATCTGCCAATTTCGCTTCCCACTGCCATCTGCCCCTACACATAAACATTCATATTCAACTCCTCAGAATTCCACACATACACCTTGTATCCTCCTCTACCTGGCATTATCATCCTCCAAGACCTCCCTCACAGCCGTGGCAGAGAAGAGAAAAGAAGGGGACCCTAGTTGATGGAACTGATCATCCAAATAGCCCCCGAGGATCACTGAGATGATATAGCAAAGCAAAATCACCTACGTTTTTAGACTGCCAAGACTATATCCTGAATTTCCAGAATAAAACCTCTCAAAAAAGTGATAAAGGATCACATGAGTGGATGTTAATGGTCAGGTCTCACAGTACAACAAAATTCAAACTTAAGAACAAACAGGCTGAACAAAGGACTTCAAATCAGCATGCCCACAAAAGGATCACCTCCGGTCCTTATACATATAACTATATTAATAATGATTTAAAACATTTTTTCTGACTGCAATTATCTTTATGGTCCTTTTTGAAAATACAATTTGATTTGAGGTGATCTTATAAAATTCCAGGGAATAATTCTTATTCTTAATAAAGTTTAATATAATAGTCTGCTGAAATTCAAGTGTTCCAATAGGTATGGTTCTTTCCACTTCTAAAATTAAATCACTTAATGAGAATTGCCAGAAAGAGACTTCATTAGTAATTATCCACAATGGTAGAGAACACACAAGATACATTTGCACTGTTCTATTGTTATAAGCCAGTAGAAGAGTGGAATTTTCAAAGATGCAAATAGTTCCCCTTGGTCATATTACCCTGGATAGAAATTAGAGCTGCAAGCTAATAGGAGTCTGAGGGACAAGGGCATGTTCCTCAGCCTGTGGTTTCTCTGGCTTCCAAAGCTAGAAGCAAATGATTCTTTTTTTTTTTTTTTTTGTTCTTCCAATCTATGCATTAAGCTTCCAAGAAATAAACACGTTTGCTTCAAAATTCAATTTCCTGTGGGGTTATCTTCAGATGCTGCATGGGTTTATTAGAATTAATCACAACACAGCACGGCTTCCAAAGTGAAGGCCCAGGGTTGACAAAATACCCTCCCTATCACAGCCGTCAACCCACCAAAGGCTATGGGGACTCTCGAGATTTTGAGGAATACAAGCAAAGGCCTTGCCTTTTTCAACTTCAGTCTAGAGCAGGTAGGGAGGGGTAGACCACAAATAAGTAAACAAAGAAAAGATGATTACGTATTGTGCTAAGTGCAGTTAGTGAAGGCCGTCGGCGATGTTTGCTGGCAAGATGCATTTTTTTTCCATTTTGCTTCCCACATCTGCAATCAACATATAACTTTATGGTATGAACTATTAAACATATAGACACTAGAACAAATGTGAGTTTCCTATTCTAGTTCAAGGCTTGATAAGTTAAAAATCTATTTTGATGGTCCTGGGCTCCAAAAAGCCACTGTTTCTCTCTGGGGTGTGTGTGTGTGTGTGTGTGTAGGGGTGAGTAGTACTAGGGTCAACAGCCTTAATAGCACGTTGCCCCCAAATGCAAAGGTGTTCCACATATAAGTAGCTATGAATGTGGGTTTCAAAACAAAAGCCTTAACTTAGAGTTTTATTATGTTTTAAAATCATCACTGTCTTAATGTTTAAACACCTGTTTAAGTCCTCTTAATAAGGGATAAATGCCTGTTTATGGCTTTTTGAAAATATAAACACAAGGATCCATAGCTTTTAAAAAAACACTTTGTTTCTGTGACAATGTTTGTTAATCTAGCTAACTGAGTTACTTGCAGAAAAATGGAGAATAGAGAGTGATAGAGAGTTCTTAAGCACTGTTGCTCCAAATACCTTAGTTACCTGAATTATTCTAAGGTTATTTGTAAAAACTAAAATTCCATGAGGCAAAGAATGACTTTTATCAATCCCATTTATGATATTCGATTTCTGTATTACACATAAAGAATTGGACTATTAAAGAAAGTAACCAAATGAGAGATGGATGTTTAAAAATAACATTAAATGAGTGATTTGAGAACTCCAAAACTTTATGTGACTAAGTTATTTCTTCTCTGTGCCTGCAGGTCATTTTCACACTGGGATTGCAATTTATTAGATGCCATACACAAGTTCTACTGTGGGCTCCAAGCAGAGGTACAGGGAAAACCTCTAGAAGATTCTTCCTTAGTAAGCAGCAGGTAACGTTCTATAATTTTAGGCCACCACACAGAACCGATTGTCACTCACAGCTTCTGTCACAGAGTGGGATGTGTCACGCTTCATTTGGTACAAAACATGACGATGAAAAAAACAACTTGATGAACCTATTTTAGCAGCCTCTATTCAGCCAGCAGTGTGAGGAGCTGGAGTACTGTGACAAAGCATTAGGCTCCTTACAATGCCAACCTAGAAACCAAATCACTACTTTGTAGCAAGAAACGAAAATCATGATGAAAAAGCTACAGTTGATCTCCCCACCCAGCAAAGGAAATATGGACAAAATACAATCACCACCACACATAACGGATGGACTTCATGTAAGGATTAATATAATGATTCATGTAATATAAGGCTCATCTTCAAAAAGGAATGATTTGCTTCCTTTGCCATGACTAATGTGCCTGGGTGGGGCAGCCCGTGGTATAACTGACAATAAGATTTCTTCAAACCAAAAAAAAAAAAAAGAAAGAAAGAAAAGAAAAAAGAAAGCAAAAGCAAAAACACCACCACAAAGCAATGTCTGAATCCCAGAGAGCCCCAAATGCACACTCATTGCTCAGACTTGCCTGGGTTTCCTTCCAAAGAAAATTTACTCACTCTCCTATGGAAAGGCAAAGTAGGAGACTGCAGGAGCATCAAAGCCATGGACCCTGTCAACGATGCCAAGAGGTGGGGGAAATACACCTTCCAACCCTAAGAATTTTGGAGAGGGGGCTGTCTCAGTAGCAAGGGGGGGTCAACAAATATGATATGAGGCCCTAAAACCACAGCACAGGGCTTCCTTGGTATGCAGGACAGGGGTACAAGCCAAAGGGCAGGTGCTATATTCACCCACACACACCATAAGGAATCCATGCTTCCTGGAAACTGCCCAGTGATGTCACCCTGTGCAGCTGTAACCTGTGTGAGTGTTCTGACTCAGTCATCAACAATGACATTTTGGCTGGGCACAGTGGCTGATGCCTGTAATCCCAGCACTTCGGGAGGCTGAGGCGGGTGGATCACTTCAGGTCAGGAGTTCAAGGCCAGCCTGGCCAACATGGTGAAACCTCAGCTCTACTAAAAGTACAAAAAAATAGCTGGGTGTGATGGTGCACGCCTGCAGTCCCAGTTACTTGGGAGGCTGAGGCAGGAGAATTGCTTGAACCCAGGAGGCAGAGGTTGTAGTGAGCTGAGATCACACCACTGCACTCCAGCCTGGGCAACAGAGTGAGACTCCCTCTCAAAACAACAACAGCAGCAACAAATAATGACATTTTAAAAATGATTAATTCTACTTCTCTTTTTTTTTGAAGCAGTTGCTTTTTTATTGTTAACAATCCCTCATATTAGAATAGCCCATTGTGGTTAACAAGGTACTTATGACCATTACCTCAATTATTCTTCACAAAAGCTCTGTGAGATTAGCATGATTTTACTAACAAGGAAACAGAAGTTTAGAAAAGTTGAATAGACTACTCAGTAGTTAGTAAATGGCAGACCCAGGGCCCAAGCCCAGATTGTCCCTTGCTCTTTCCTCACAATGGTTAATTTGGTTTCTATAGTGGAGTTATAGGCTGAAATGACATTAAAATTCTATTAAATTTGGTTTCCACAGTGGAGGTTTTAAGCTGAAGTGATATTATTAAAATTATATCCTTTTGAAAAATATTTATTGAGTATAAATAAATGTCCTATACACTAAATATCAAGAAATATTCATTATTGATTAGAAGTCAAGATGTAATACTGAGGGAACCATAGAATCAAAATACCCACTCATGATACAATAGTGATAATTCCATTCCAATATTGGACACAGAAATGATTTGTTCACAAGACACAACAAAACCTATCAAAAAGGCCATCACTTTAACCAACCTATAATACCACAATAGAAAATGATTCTGAATCATAATATGAACAGCCCCAATAATCTCATCTTTGTCTTACCGATTTATCAGGTCATTTTGAGACTGTAGAGTTACACCGTCATAGATTTTTAACATTCCATTTCCTTAGTTTTATTTCAAAGTATTACTAATGAATGAAAACAAGTCATACAAGCCAAAGATACTTTTAAACTAAGTGCAATTTTCATAAGAAAAAAAGGAATCAAATTTTAGTACAAAAAAAAAAAAAAAAAGCATTTCCCAAACAATGAGTCTCTTAACGGAAAAAATCAAAGAGCAATGTAATTAAACTTTCCTTCAAAGAAAGGAAAGAAACATAAATCTGTTATGGTAAATTTGGAAAGATAAATATTTCCTAGTCCCATAATATGTGTTTGTTTTATAAGATATACTTGAATGATGCTGATCTATGAAGCAGGGATCTGTGGCAATCCAAATTCATCCACCAGAAGAACTCTATCCTTGCTTTTTGGGTCAGTGGGAACACCTTCCGGAATTGCAGGTCATCTTCAACCAGTTCTGGGGTGCCATAACTGCGAATCAGTGCTTCTTGGATTTCATTTGCATCTTCCATCATATCCTTTAGCTGGTCTTGTAAATACTCAATCTGGTCGATTTTCAGTTGCTTGTATGCCTTCTTCATTTCCTTTACTCCCAGTTTCATAGCATCAACCGTGGTCTTGGTGTTCTTCAATGACTGGATGGTATAATTGGCTTCTTCCATGTTGAATGGCTGTTGTTCAAGATTGCCCTGCTGCTGCTCATACATCCACTTTTACTTTAAAACTTGCAAGGCTTTCTGCTTAACCATATTCTTTTCAGGACCCTCTCTCATCTTCTTGATCTGATCCTTATACTTTACTAGCTCAGCATCCAATCGAGAAATCTTCTTGTCAATGGATTCTGCCCTGCTGACCACCGTGCCAATGCAGTCAGTCAGGCTGGGCGGTGGAGCCTTGGGGTTCGCCTTCCCGAAGAACTGGTTGATCTTGAGCAGCCGCAAAGAAACCCACACACTGGAGCAAAACCATAAACCACTTATGTCTTATGAGGAAGAATGGGGAAGAGAAGCTATAGGAATCAGAAGGGTTCAGAGGAGGGAGTCTAGAGGCAGACTGCCTGGATTGAAAGCTCAGCTTCACCATTTACTAAGCTACGTGACCCGGGCAAGTCACTCAACTTCTTTGTGCCTCAGTTTTCTCATCAGGAAACTATAAGTGGTATTGAGTTGTTAGAAGAATTAAATGAGTTAATATTTATAAAATGTCTGGAATGGGCCCGGAGCCACGGGTCACTCCTGCAATCTTAGCACTTTGGGAGGCCGAAGTTGGGAGGATCATTTGAGCCCAGGATGTTGGGGCTGCTGTGAGCCATGATCACACTACTGCACTGCAGCCTGGGTAACAGAGCAAGACCCTGTCTCAAAAACAAAATAATAAAAATAAATAAAATGCCTGGAATGCTGCTTGGCATATATAAGCACTGCTAAATTTTGTTATTTAAAATAAAAACTTTCAAAATGTTTAAACAGCTAAGAAGAGCTCCTGGCCCCATTCAGACCTCTCACCAGAGCTATAGTTGGAAGTTCTGTTCTTCTTTCTCCTCCAGACCATGTGCCAGAACTGCTGACAGGACTCTCAGTGCCTGTCCTGAAGGCAGATGATCCTCCCTATTCTCACTTTGTCATTGCTCTAACCCTCATTCAGATCCCCCGCATCCCCAAAACAAGTCCAGTTAGCCAGCCCAGTTCGTAATGCTAACCTTCCATTTCAAGGTGTCAGTGCAGTGGCACAGCTATGGTGACGAGATCAAGCAGCAACCAGAGTCCCAAGACACACACTGGTTTCCATTTAATACAATGTTTACTTACCTTTATATTAGGACACAGGAGAGGAAACTCATCAGGATCTGCAGCTTCATCTCAATAGGAGGCATGGCAGCTACCCAAGTCTACAGCTACTTCTGCCCCTCATCCACACAGGTCACATATGATTGCCACAGATGATGGGCAAGATGTTTGTGGATTTTGTTTGTTTGTTTTGAGATGGAGTCTCGCTCTGCCGCCCAGGCTGGAGTGCAGTGGCGTGATCTTGGCTCACTGCAGGCTCCGTCTTCCGGGTTCACACCATTCTCCTGCCTCAGACTCCTGAGTAGCTGGGATTATAGGCGCCTACCACACGCCCAGCTAATTTTTTGTATTTTTAGTAGAGACGGGGTTTCACGGTGTTAGCCAGGATGGTCTCGAACTCCTGACCTCGTGATCCACCCGCCTCGACCTCCGAAAGTGCTGGGATTACAGGCATGGGCCACCGCTCCCGCCCTTGTTTGTGGATTTTGTTGATGAAGAAAACCACAGCCCCTTTTCCTGTCAATCTTTTATACCACCCTCAGGCATGCCAAATTTCCCATGCCAATTTACAGTTTCCCAGTGGAGGGGCAGCTCCATGCGACAACCAAGGCAGGCACAACATCCCCCAATTATCTTAACTCTTACTGTTTTCAATGACATAGAGCATAGGAGGCCAGGGTCACTCCCAGGTAGGCCTAAATCAGCCCAAGCCTTCACTCATGAATGCCAATTCACTTTTTAATGGAATGAAGCCTTGGGCCCCACAACGGCAATCAAGGTCCCCCACAATCTATTGCCTGTATATGTTTCCTGTCTCATCTCCTACAACTGATCCCCACATACCCTAAACTCGGCCACACAGCCTGCCTCACCCTTTGGCTCACTGTACACAGTTGTGTTCCACTCAAGAGTGTCAACTCAGGGGCAGAAACCTTTTATTTTCTCTTCCTATCACCTGGTGTCCCAACACAATCTCTTAAACACTAAAAATTCAGCAAAACCTTAACTCTGCATTTAAGCAAATGAAGCTGGGTCACAATTACTCTGGTATAGTGAAAGAAAGTCATGGAATTTTAAAAGTTCCAATGTCTGGATGACAGTGATCCTTATACGCATGAAATGTTAAAGGCCACAAGCCTCATCCAAACCACTCTCTTGATTCCATAGGAGGAGGAAGATATCCCAGAGGGATCGCAAAGCTAATTTCTTAATAACTCCCTTTGCATAATGTTCCCATAGCCATCCTTGTGAGTAGGGCCTGTGTCCCTGTACAACAAATAGTCAGCAAATGCTTGGGTAGCCAACATATGACTTAGTCTTGTGAAAAATTATGATTGCGCTTGAGTCTCTTCATGGAAAGATTTAAATCTGTACTTAATGCCAAAACAAACACAAAGAACCAGCCAATATAAATTAGGGATATCCCAAAGCTTGACTTAGGCAAAAATCATCTCTGATCTTCAGAAGTAACTGAACGTCTCCTGCAATATCATTTTTGGTATCCCTTAACTGTTAGTGACCAATTATTGCATGCTGGCACAGTGACCAGCATAACAATCTGAATAATATAAAAAGTGTATCATTTGTATTTATTAAGTCTATATGTAAGATGGAGTAAAAATTGTATTAATCTATTGAGAGATATATTTATCTTTATTATTGTAAGAATAAAGTAACAATTAATGACTGTGAGAGCTATTAATTTGATATACAAAATAGTTAACCTATTAAGAATGTATTAAGATAAAGACAAAAAGCACAAACCATAAAGGAAAAAATAACTGATAAACAGGACTTTGTCAAAAACTTAAAATTTCTGTTCTTCAAAAGACACAGTTCAGGAAATGAAAAGACAGGCCATAGACAGGTAGAAAATATTGCATACCATGTATCTGACAAAGGATTGGTATCCAGAAAATATAAAATACACAACTCAATGAGACAAAAAAAGATAAATTTAAAATGGGCAAACAAGTACAGAGACTTCAAAGAGGATATATGGATGGCAAATAGGCATGAGAAAAGATGTTCAACGTTATTAGTCAGTAGGAAAATGCAAATTAAAACAATAAGATACCATTTCACACTAGAATGGATAAAATTTAAAATTCCTAAATAACAAAAGTTGGTAAAGGTGTGGAACAATTGAAAAGCTTATACATTGCTGATGGAAATGAAAAATGTTCAGATATTTTGAAAATGATTGCCAGGTTTTTAAAGTTAAACATACACTTACCATGCAACAAAGGAATCTCACCTTGGGTATTTATTCCAACAGAAATGAAAACCCGTGCCCACACAAAGATATGTAAGCAAATGTTCATAGCAGCTTTATTTATAATACTTCATAACTGAAAACAACCCAAATGTTCAATGAATGGCGAATATATAAGTAAACTGTGATATATCCAGACAATGGAATATTACTCAGTAATAAAAAAGGAACAAACTATTGATACACATTACATCACAGATGAATCTCAAAAGCATTATGCTAAGTGAAAGAAGCTAGAAAACAAAAGGTTATCTAATACATGATGTTCTAAAAATGGCAAAACTATAGAGACAGAAAACAGATGAGTAGTTGCCAAGAGCTAGGGTAGGAGAAGGGCATGTTCTGCAAAAGCAGATTTCCAGGGGGATAGAAATGTTCTATTATCTTGATTTTGGTGGTGATTACACAAGTGTATGCAGTGTCAAAACACATTGAACTGTATATTTAAAAGAAATGAATTTTGTTGTATGTAAATTATACCTCAATAAACCTGGCCTTTAAAAAGGGAATACATTTAAAAATAGGTAAACAGCCAGTGAATATTTGAGTGAATTAATGAAAGAAGAGTGCAATAGTTAAATAACTTAAGGAAAAACAATATATTTGGTTAAGCCAATAAATACCTAAAAATTTAAGTAACAATACAAGATACAATAATAGATATTAGATTATAACATAATTCTAGTCTTTGTAGAATTGTTTGCTGCATTAACATTTATAGCATTGCAAAACAAACTTTTAGAGTTGCATTTAATTTCTAGTTATCTCTTTGGTATGACACACATACAATCTAATGAACTCACATGCAATCTAGCAACTGATGGTGCCGAGAAATTATCTCTTGCTGGCTGGGCGTGGTGGCTCATGCCTGTAATCCCAGCACTTTGGGAGGCCGAGGTGGGTGGATCACCTGAGGTCAGGAGTTCAAGACTAGCCTGACAACACAGCAAAATTCCATCTCTACTAAAAATACAAAATTAGCTGGGCATGGTGGTGGGTGCCTATAATCCCAGCTACTCGGGAGGCTGAGGCAGGAGCCTTGAACCAGGGAGACAGAGGTTGCAGTGAGCCAAGATCACACCCTACTTCTACTAAAAAAAAAAAAAAAAAAAAAATAGAAAGAAAGAAAGAAAGAAAAGAAAAAGAAAAGAAAGAAAAGAAATTATCTCTTGCCTTCAATGTCAAACTTTAAAAAGATGATTCCTGAAATTTTTAATAAAATTGCAATAATAATATGTTTCTGAATAAAATTTCAGATTTATTTAACTCAGAGGTTCATTCTAAGTTGGTGATATTTTGGTTTGGATAAATATTTATTTTTAATACTTGCCATTCAACATTTAGCTAAAATAGTTATTCAGTAGCTAATCGGTTAACTTTCAGGGTTTCAAGTTCTGGTTCATGCTCAGCCTGCCTCCACTAAACCAATGTCAAAATAAACTGTGGGGTTCAGCCTTCATACCCTTTAAGGACTTATGATAAACTCACCATTACATCCAACATTTACACTAGAAATCCTAATCAATCTTCACAACATTGATTTCTCACATTAATTTTCAAGATAATTCATTGCAAGACAGAAATATAGTAAGAATCACTTGAAAAATTTCAGAAAATATCCCGCGCTATGAAAATGAGAGTTAAAAAGTGAAAAAAATGGGGCTACGCAAAATCTTTTTTAAAAAAGAAAATAAAGGAAATCCAGAACAACAATAGAGGTTAAAGACATAATGGATGAAGCTGGATGTGGTGGCTCATGTCTGTAATCCCAGCACTTTGGGAGGCCAAGGCAGGAGGATCACCAGAGCTCAAAAGTTCAGGACCACCCTGGGAAACAAAGTGAGACGTGGTCTCCTCAAAAAATTAAAAACAAAATTAGCTGGACAGAGTGGTGTATGCCTATAGTCCCAGCTACTCAGGA